ATTTAATGCTTATTAAATGACTATTAATTTGCATATTGAAAATAAAATTATACTGTCACTCAATTTTCTCAAAACCCTACATTAGTTTAAATTTCTAGTTCACTATGCTAATAGGCATAGGCATTTATTTTATTTTTTATTTTATTTATTTATTTTTTTGCAGTACGCGGGCCTCTCACTGTTGTGGCCTCTCCCGTTGCGCAACACAGGCTCTGGACACGCAGGCTCAGCGGCCATGGCTCACGGGCCCAGCCGCTCCGCGGCATGTGGGATCTTCCCAGACCGGGGCACGAACCCGTGTCCCCTGCATGGGCAGGCGGACTCTCAACCACTGTGCCACCAGGGAAGCCCAGGCATAGGCATTTTAAAAACCATTTAAGAAAATATATCTGTGACAACTAGTTTCATTACTGAAGAAAACCTCCTTCATAAATGATGCATGGCCCCTGAAATCATTAACTTCTGAAAAGAAAAATAATTTAACAGTTGCTTCTACTACATAACTGCTTACTCGATAACTACATTATTTTTATCACACATTTTTTAGTTAATATGACTTGGTTTACTAAAGGAAACATCTATAAAAGCAGTAGGAGAATGCAATGACTAAACCTATTATGTGCTTGTAATTTTAATTTTTATCAGTACAGTTTTATCCACTGAGAAAAGTCAGGAAGGAAAGAGATTATCTTCTGTTTTATACTTTCACTCCAGCACTGAATGAATCTGACATTTATTTTTATACAATGGCCCGAACCTGAGGTTTTTTTTTTTTACCGAAGTCAACAAGAACACAGCAAATTCAGTGGGAAGTCTAGGTCATACCCCAAGGGGAGAGAGAAGAAAGAGTTTTCTTCCCTTAGTTCCTGGATCTTCTTTAGGGTTTATACTGTGACCAATGAATATGGGTTGTGAGGCTTATTTAGAGCCATTTGCACTTGTGTTAGGTAGAAAAAGACTTTGTCTCCTCTCCTCTAATCATTATTATACCAGGTTACAAGGAGCTGTGCCTATGTTCTACACCTCTTTAAAAATCTATTTGATGTTCCCTTCTGTATCATCTATTCCATTTATTTGTTTGCATATGTAGTCTACCCAGTTATTGGCCATGAAATGGTTATATGAGCATGCCCTTGAGCTAGCTGGGCTGGTGATCATTGCTCATCCAGGAAGTGTCATGGCACTGTGTAATGGAGGTATCATTTTTTTTTTTTCCAGCTTGGACTCAGGTCAAGAAGAGGCTTTCCTATGTAAGGGACAGAAATACAATTCTCCCCATTGCCTAAGAGCAGAGAAAACAGCTAGCAGAGGGAACACAGATGGGGACAGATGGCTTAGACTAGAGAGACATCTCCAGAGCCAGTGGACAAATGCCATTTCTGGGTTACCATTTTACATCTCTAGCCATACAGGGATCAGAAATGCTTAGCTGTTCAAGACACATACAGCTGTAACTAGAGATGTCTGAGAAAGATAGCTACAGAGGCCAAATGAAGTAACATTAGTACCAAGGATACACATCATTCTCACAGCTCACTAAGTCATTCTAGAAAGGACACACCAACCACATTTTGTTTGTTTGTGTTTTATACCAACTATATTTGAAAGTGTTTTCAGCTTCAGTTTTCAAAGATCAACTGGCGGAAAAAAAGATCTTAAGATACAATCTTGGTGAAAGAGTTAGTGCCTTATAATCTCTTGCAACTCACATGCTCTGCCTCATTTCTGGGGATTTGAAATAACAAGTATTTTAATCACCTCTAAACTAAGCAGAGCTAAGCAAAGATTAGTTTGCTCATGTAAATTTAAACTTGCTCATGCAAGACCACAGAGAAGCTAAAGTTACAAACTACGGATTACCCAATTTCTCTATTGAGTTAGCTTGGTCATGAACCATACAGTGAGACTGAGAGAGGATAATCAATATACATTAATTATTGATTCTCTATATGCCTGAACTATTCCAAATGGGATGAATTTCATAATAGTAATAGAATCTCTTCAAACAGTTTTTATGACAGGTTTCAAGATTATCTTTCATTTATGAAGTGATTCATCTAAGTCTCTTCACCTAAAAGTAGGTATATTCCAATATAAATGGAGTTAATGAGCAAATGTTACCTAAAAATGTTCCTCAAATCCTATATTTTTAAATGCATTTACTTGGTGAGTATATTTTGACACTGAATTTTTATTAATTCACAGTGAATAAAGTTTCTACTATACATTTGAATTGGCTTTCTGTAAGCCTGTAATATTTCAGTGAAGAAGATACAGAAGATAGTTTGAATCTGGAAAGGAATGCATAGTAGTTAAAACATTTTTCCAAAAAAAAAAAAATTAAGGTGGAACAAGTTTTATAAAAAAAGATGTTGGTATTTCTTTTAAAAATAAACTGTAGTCTCTTACCCTAAGTATTAAGTAATGACTCATTACTTCACTTGATTTAACTTTTCAAAGAAAGCTGCAATTATTTTTATAATAACCTGCAATTAAAACCAGAGATAAGAATCCTTTAAAATTTTGCCTACAATGAACACAAGAAAGTTTGGAGGACATTTTGTCTTAGAACTGGAAAAAAAAGTAGCTATATAAATATCATAGTGGTCAGTTAGGAATATTATATACACCTAGTAAATAGGAGAAGTTCTACTCAAAAGATTTAAGATTTGGAAAGGGGCTCTAAAATTAATGCAATCACTCTTCTGGCTGGACAAATGATCAAATAAATTCTCACGATATATTTTAGGTTAATGGAGTTTTTCTTTTCACTAGCAAAACAACTATGTGCATTTTGGAATTCTCTTAATAAAGAAAACAAAATTTTACCCATTAGACCCTTTATTCTGTCATATGTATGACAGTTCTTATTTTTCTTGTTAAAATTTGCTTACACACTTTCCACTGACCATGTGCTATTTTTATAATTATGAAAAAATCAATAAAATGATTTCTATTGTGTGAAAGAAAAATTACAGTTGCACATTTTATTTTACCCCCAGAAGTAACCTTCCATTATACTTGAGTGTTCTCTATATTATAGGGAATACAATGGGAACAATTCTGATTGAGCAGAAGTAAAACTGTCTACTAAAAAATATCACTACGAGTTTTATAGTATCCAGTCTTACATTTAAGTCTTTAATCCATTTTGAGCTTATTTTTGTGTATGGTGTTAGAGAATGTTTTGATTTTCTTCTTCTACATGTGGCTGTCCAATTTTCCCAGCACCACTTACTGAAGGGACTGTCTTTTCTCCATTGCATATGCTTGCCTCCTTTGTCATAGATTGACCATAGGTGTGTGGTTTTATTTCTGGGCTTTCTATCCTGCTCCACTGATCTATAAGAATGTCTTTAGGCCAGTACCATACTGTTTTGATTGCTGTAGCTTTATAGCATAGTCTGGAGTTAGGCAGCCTGATTCCTCCAGCTCCATTTTTCTTTCTCAAGATTGTTTTGGCTATTTGAGGTCTTCCGTGTTTCCACATAAATTATAAGACTGGATACTATAAAACTCTTAAGAGGAAAACATAGGCATAACACTCTTTGACATAAATTGCAGCAATACCTTTTTGCACCCACCTCCTAGAGTGATGAACATAAAAACAAAAATAAACAAATGGGACCGAATGAAACTTCAAAGCTTTTGCACAGCAAAGGGAACCATAAACACAACAAAAAGACAACCCTCAGAATGGGAGAAAATATTTTCAAATGAAGCAACCAACAAGGGATTATCGCCAGAATATACAAACAGCTCGTGCAGCTCAATATTAAAAAAACAAAAAACAACCCAGTCAAAAAATGGGCAGAAAACCTAAACAGGCATTTCTACAAAGAAGACATACAGATGGCCAAAAAGCACATGAAGAGGCTCAACACTGCTAATTATTAGAGATACGCAAAGCAAAACTACAATGAGATATCACCTCACACCAGTCAGAATAGCCATCATTAAAAAGTCGACAAACAATAAATGCTTGAGAGGGTGTGGAGAAAAGGGAACCCTCCTACACTGTTGGTGGGAATGTAAATTAGTACAGCCACTAGGGAGAACAGTATGGAGGTTCCTTAAAAAAACTAAAAATATAGCTAACATACGATCCAGCAATCCCACTCCTGGGCATATATCTGGAGAAAACCATAATTCAAAAACATATAAGCACCCCAATGTTCACTGCAGCACTATTTACTACAGCCAAGACATGGAAGCAAGTTAAATGTCCATCGAAAGAGGAGTGGATAAAGAAGATGTGGCACATATATACAATGAACTATTGCTTAGCCATAAAAAAGAATGAAATAAGGCCATTTACAGGAACATGGATGGACCTAGAGACTATCATGCTAACTGAAGTAAGTCAGACAGAGAAGGACAAATACCATATGATGTCACTTATATGTGGCATCTAAAAAATGATGCAAATGAACTTATTTACAAAACAGAAACAGACTCACAGACTTAGAAAACAAACTTACGGTTACCAAAGGGGAAAGGTGTGGGGTGGGAGGGATAAATTAGGAGGTTGGGGTTAATATATACACACTACTATATATAAAATAGGCAATCAACCAGGACCTACTGTATAGCACAGGGAACTCTATACTCTGTAATAACGTATATGGGAAAAGAATCTGAAAAAGAATAGATATATGTATATGTATAACTGAATCACTTTGCTGTACAGCTGAAACTAACAAAACATTGTAAATCAACTCTACTCCAATATAAAATTTTTAAAAAGTTAGTGGGTAAAAAAAATAAAAACATAAAAAATATCACTGTCCATTAAATAATAAGAGTGTCCTGAGCATTTTTGGATGAATATAACCTTGGATTAAATACGCTAAAAAGAAGTATATTTAAGACCACTAGGTCCAAAAAAAAGGGGGGTGTGGTGCTGAGGGAAATGCAAGCCACAGAGCATGGAAACCCAAGAAGATAAAGAGTCTTTCTAAACGTTTCACACAGTAGCCTAAAGAGCAGACATAACCTACCTTGGTTTTTGGAGATGGCTTTTGTGTGTCTCTTACGAAGTCTTTTGTTAGAAGGATGTTCTTACAATTGGCCTCCTATAAAAGAAGTATAAAAGAAACATTAGAGACCGAAGAACACTACCCAAACCAGAAATTACAATGTAGTGAAACACATTTCTGGATTGAGTTGTTCATATCAGAAGCTAGTGAGACTGTAGAGAGCAGTCAAAACGTTTCCTTTCTTCTTTGTCACATACATCAGTGAAGTAATGTAAGACAGTGATGGAGTAGGTATGGGACCTACAGGACATATATATTCAGAGATGATTATTAAAAATCTCATCTACGCTATCATGTCATTTACATATCCACAGACACCTCACCTCTTCTTTGGAGAATTGAATAGTAATTCTCCAAGATATCAACACCAAACTTGAAGTTTCCAACTTTCCCCAAGTATTTTACAAGTGGGTTCTGATTCTGTAAGTGTTTTATCATAAACAAATTCCTTCACATTGTTCATAATCCGTATCAAATAGTGACAGCTGCATATCAATATCCCAAGAAAAAATATCTGAGTATCTGCTTACAAAATTATTAAGCTTCTAAGTCCTCGGTTCACGCCAAAACAGTACATGCAAAAATGAGAGCAGAGATTACGAGGCAGCAGCTTACTTGCGGTTGGATAGATTTACTATTTATTTCTACATGGTAAATAAAAACAACAATCTTGTTGTTTTTTACAAAATAATGTAGGGCCTCACTTCTGAATAGCTATTAACTTGAGTCAATTTTCCATAGATGATTCTATCTCCAAATTAAGACAGAACGAAAATACATAAGAGGAAGATTATAGTCAACAATAAAGCTAAGGAGTAAATAAGTCAGATTTCTTTTACCTGCTCCAAAACCTTCACCTCTGCATCCCATTTCTTCCCCTATCATGTCTACCATTCACTCATCTAAATAATGAGTTTTTTTTCCAATTTACTTTAGGGTTAATTATCTGCTTTTAAACAAAACTGTATTCTACACATTTTATAATATTACAAAAATTTCCTGGAATTACATTCTTATATTTTTAAAGGGAACAGTATATTATTAGGATAAAATGTCCCTAAAGAAAATAACACTACTACTTACTACTAATAAATAATTACTAAATCATAGGATGTGTCAGGCACTGTGCTAAAGACTCTGCATTCATAATGCCATGTCCCCCTCAACAGCCCTATGAGTTAGGTACTATTATTATATCGTATTATCATTCCCCTTTTAAGTATTACACAACAAAAGCATACAGAAGTTAAGTAAATTGCCTAATGTCACACAGGACTCAAAGATGGTTCTGAATAACTTTAAGGCCTGAGCTCTTATCATCTTTATATACTACTTCTCATCCAATATACTTGACAGCTTAAATGACTAGGTTGTAGAACCACAGCATTTTAAAGCCAAGAGAGTTTTTAATGATCAACTACTCTATCCACGCCCCTAATTTTACAGATGGGGGTGTGCATCCTGAGGTGATGTGCCCCAAATCACACAGAGAGTGGTAGAGCCGAGACCCATGCCTGGACCACAGGGCTGTACAGGCTATCTGTCCTCCGCTTTGTGCTAGGGAGCAATATTCCCAGACTCGGAGGGGATCGTGAACCTCTCGTGAGCTGGGGGCAGGGGTAGCTGCAGTGCGGCCAACACTCTCAGCTGTCTGTGGCCTCGTGCACAGCCCTGTGTAAGGACCAAGGGTACATTTCTGAGATCTCCAAATAAGTGTGCATTCCAGTCCTACCCCTTCCCACCAGTCATACCACCTGCTGTTGGGAAGCTGTTTACTGGAAATAGTGAATGAACCCATTCCCGCTTCTGACTCACTGTGAGAGGGATAAACTATATCCAGCATGACATTTAAAAGGTTTAAGTGATTAACTGCATAACCCGTTGCGTAATTTGGCTACCCCTGGATAATATAATTAGGTATAATCCTCATACCTCTTTTTAAACTACTGGTAAGTAAATGTTAGAATGTGATGAGAAGAAAAAAGGCCAACTCTTCAGGGAAGTGAATAGGAATAGGTGACCTTTGTTTATGTCTGTCTGAGCTTATAAATGCCTATAATTCTTTCTTCCTTATGCATAAACTAAAAGTGGCCGTGTTTCCTTTAAAAGTGACAGTATCACTCCTAATTTGCCTCCCTGTCCCTGTGAATTAATAAGTATAAGGCTGATAGTCAGCTTTTCCCTAAAAGACTCTGAAAGCATTTTCTGTAAACTTTTAACTGAAAATACCACCTACATAAATTACGTTGATTTTTTGTTTTATGACTTTAAATTCAGAGAGTGGAGTCAAAGTGAAGTTCAGTAGTCACAGCACCATCCTAGCTCTCTAACCAGCTCTAGGAAGTCAGGTAAGCATTTTTTTTTTTTTTTTTTCGGTACACGAGCCTCTCACTGTTGTGGCCTCTCCCATTGCGGAGCACAGGCTCCGGACACGCAGGCTCAGCGGCCATGGCTCACGGGCCCAGCCGCTCCGCGGCATGTGGGATCTTCCCGGACCGGGGCACGAACCCGTGTCCCCTGCATCGGCAGGCGGACTCTCGAATGCTGAGCCACCAGGGAAGCCCCAGGCAAGCATTTTAACCTCTTGGACCTCTCCCTCAGTTTAAAGATCTATACAACAAAGGGACTGGATTAGGTGAGCTCCAAGAATCCTAGCTAGCTCTTAAATTTCAAGACTTTATGATCTTATGATTCTTTCAGGAAGCAATATTTACTGACAAAAAAGTTAAGCCACATCCTGTTGAGGGTTGCATTCCCAATGCCCCCATCCGAATGCTGCTGGAGTACTGGCACCCATGCAATAGCAGTGAGCTATAGAACACAGGCCACACTTCCTGCAGGACCAAGTGTTACTCAGATTTCTGGAGGGAAATTAAGTAATTCAACTAGTACCTTCAATAAGTAACTGGTAATAACTTAATGTATTGTTTTAAAACAGATATAGTGTGGTAACTCCATAATATATTATGAGAAATATTTTAAAGATAAAGCCCTTTTAAAGTTGTGCTTTTAAAAAGCCATTTATGCTTGTAGGTATATACCTGAGAATTAAAAACATATGTCCACACAGAAACTTTTACATAAGTGCTCACTGTAGCACTATTCATAATGGCCCAAAAGTGGAAACAACACAAATGTCCATCAACTGTTGTTCAGATAAAAAAAGTATGGTGTATACCCACAATGGATTATTGTCCAGCTATAAAAAGGAATGAAGTACTGATACCTGCTAATCACATAGATTCACCTTGAAAACACTATGCTAAGTGAAAGAAGCCAAACACAAAAGGACATACATTGTGATTCCATGTGTATGAAATGTTCAGAATGGACAAATAATGACAGGAAGTAGATTAGTGGTAGCCAGGGCCTGGGAGGAGGAGGGAATGTATAGTCACGTCTCATAGCTCCAGTCTGCATGGGGTTTCTTTTGGGGTGACAAAAATGTTCCGGAGCTAGGTAATGGTAATGGTTGTACAACTTGGTGAACATGCTAAAACCCAATAAACTGCATATTGTAAACAGGTGAATTTTATGGTACATGAATTATGTCTACGTTTTTTAAAAAGCCTTTTAAAGCAAATCCCCACATTTCCAGGGCAAAGGGAAGAGACCTCATGTTTGTGTTTGAACTCTCCCCTTAGAAGAACTTCTTTGCAAAGGTTTGAAGGGGGAATGTTTCGTGTTTGTAAGTATTATGTGAGCATGGAAATTCTCTCAAATATTAACTGAACCCTATTATTATGCTTGGCATTCCAATGCTGGTCACTGGAGAATGGAATGATAAATTAGACATGAATATATTATATAGGGTATACTTATATTTATTTTAAACATTTCTACTTGAACGAGACTTCTGACTGAACTGACTGCCCACTCCAAAGACTTGAGTAACATCCAATTGCTTAAACCCGCTGTATCATGAAAACACCATTTAAAAATACAATAGGGAAAGAAAAAATACCTTGTTTGTCACTGCTTTGTTGGCCTTTCCACTCACTTACTAATGACAATAAAAAATAGAAAAGCACCTGCCGTTCCCTCAGCCTAGCCCGCTGCTCCCAGCTATTCACATTGTGTGCCCACACTTCATCCAGGTCTCTGTTCAGTTTTGCTGGAGCAGACTCCCTCCCTGGAACACCTTATCTGAATCACCACTGCTCTCTCCTCCCACTGGGGCTCTCTCTATTTCTTCAGAGCGCTCAGCAATATCTCATTTTAATATTTAGTGGTTTTAATTCACTGTCCATCTCACCCTGCTCTGTGAGAAGACCTGTATCACTCACGGATACACCCACAAGGCCTAGAACACTGTTTGGCACACAGTAGAAGCTCAACTGTTGTGGTGAATGAGTAAACCAAATCAATGAACAATATTCCTTTTCTAACCTTTCACAATCCCTTTGTGCATTCCTCCTGTTTTTAATTCTCTCCTTAATCAGCTTACACTTCATGACCTTTCATTCCTTTGCTAATGCCCTTCGTTTTCTTCCTCTTGTCGTCAATCACTGCATTTATTTCACAAAAGGACAACCTTGGATGAATCCGGTTATATGCCTTCTCTGTGCTGGGAATGGAGCAACTGAAAGTGGCTGGAAAAAAAGTATAGAACCGGGGCTTCCCTGGTGGCGCAGTGGTTGAGAGTCCACCTGCTGATGCAGGGGACACGGGTTCGTGCCCCGGTCCGGGAAGACCCCACATGCCACGGAGTGGCTGCGCCCGTGAGCCATGGCCGCTGAGCCTGCACGTCCGGAGCCTGTGCTCCGCAATGGGAAAGGCCGCAACAGTGAAAGGCCCGCGTACCGCAAAAAAGAAAAAAAAAAAAAAAAATATATATATATATATATATATATATAGAATTGGTTGACTGTGTCATGTTAAATTTATTACCATAAATCTTGAATGAACCCTCTCTAATCCACAGCAATCCTGCTATACTTCTTTAGTAACATGATTTTCCACTCTCCAAGATGATATTTCATGTCTCCTCCTCTCTTCTCAAACCCTTTTCCTTCCATTCTTGCTTCATTGGAAAA